GGGATATTTCTTATGTCTATTCTTGATGATTGGGCTCTGCAATTACCAATTAATTTTCTTAAGATAACTCTTTTCCCTATTAATATCTATTTTAAATTACTCCTCTAAATTGGAGAATATTTTATTTTATTTAGATTAATTTCAGATATTTTATAATTACAAAATAATGGTTTATAAACAATATTTGAACTTATCAAAACAATAATATAAGTATGAGAATACATGAGAATCAATATACTTTTTTAATATTATTAAAAAGTTAAAACATATTGACATTAAATTTAAAAAAAAGTACTTTCCAAATGCTTTTTAATATAAAATAAATTGCACTCATTTCAATTATTGTGATTTTAAAAAGCCATTCTTTTTGAAAGAATTTAAATAAGTAAATTACTTTTTCCCTTCCTGATAAATAAGATCCATCCTTTAGCTAAGGCCTAATTAGAGGGTATTCTCTAAGTATTAGCCTCAATATTATTTATACTTTTTTATGTCTGCCTATTCAAATTTATGGTAATTTAACTCTTCTTGTCTTTTGTAATAAATAACTTTTTTGGTTATCATTTCTATATAATTTTTTAATTCTTAATTTAATTATTGAAATTTAGATATTTATATTTATCAAAAATTATTTGCTATTTAAGTAATAATTTAATAGAAATAGGAAATGTAGATTAGATGTACTTAAGTTGATCATCGAAATCAATAAATAATTGGATTTTGCATAGATAGCACATGCCCAAATTAGAGGCCTTATTGTCATTTTTGCTTGCCTCAACATGGTCAACATCTTGACAAATTAACATATTTTGAATTTTTTAATGAATGGATTTAGAAACGAATTATTAATGCTCAAAATGTATAAAAGAATGTTTAAGAGTGTAAATTATCTCTTGATCCTCTTCTAAATTAGTTGATTCCTTATTTGAACTTTAATATACAATAATGCTCGGAAATAGGAATTTCATAGATAGATTACATGATAAGGGGCTTATGCTAATTGGAAGGTTGTGAGGAAATATTATTTAAACAACTTAAATAATCTATCGAATAAATCAAATAGATTATAGATTAGATATTAAATAACATAAAGAATTAAACAAATTAAAAGGAAAAGTATAATTAGTAATTTCAAAATTTTGATTTAAACCATCAATATTAGAATAGCCATAAAACCAAAATATCTTTAAAGCAAATTCTAAACAATTCACCTTTGAGCTCATGAATTAAAACTCAATAAAGGTTGATAATTTTTGTTATGCTTTTGCATTTAATAAAGATTAATCTATTGTTTTAGCTGGATGTAGAAAGGATATTAAAGTATTTGAAAATCGTGAAGGAAAATTGAATCAAGTTTAATTGTTGAGTAAGCATACAGATGATGTGAACGCTTTAAATTTTATGAAAAAGACAAATAATCTTGTATCTGGTAGTTCAGACAAATCAATTATAATATGGTAGGTGATTGGAAATAATTAATGGAATTGTTAATAAATATTAAATGGACATTCAAATTGGATATTTTGTTTATTGTTAAATAATACTGATGATTTAATAATATCAGGTAGTGGAGATAATACAATCAAATTTTGGATGAAAGAGAATTAATGGATATGTTAATAAACCATAACTGATCATACTCATTCGGTATATTCATTAAGTTTAAATGAATAATAAAATAAATTGATATCTTGTTCAAGGGATTCATAAATATTAATAATAGAATAGTCTAATTTGGATAAATAATGGAGTGTTACATAAAAGATAAACGTTGATTAATATGGATTACGATTATGTTTTATTAATGATAACTTATTTACATTCTAACCAAGATGTAAAGATTAAATGAATATATATGAGATAGATACTGATAAGAAATAAGATTACAAAATTAAAGAAATTGCAGTAAAGAGTGATTCAATTGGTTGTCATTTTTTATTTCCATAATAATACATAAAGTCAAAATGCCTACTTGTGAATAAGAATGGCAAGAATGTAAATTTAATGAGAATAAAAAAAATGGTGACTTTATTATTTCATAATCTATTTAATTTGATAGTAATGAAATTTATGGACAATTAAGTGATGATGGAGAGTATTTGATCACTTGGGATTTAGGATCAAAGGAAATCTAAATAAGAAAGTGTAAGGAATAATGAATATTATAATATAAAAATTATGAAATATGTTAGAATATTTAAATAATATCTAATATTCTTTATATATTATAAAAGTGTTGTATTTTCTTAAATTTAATCAATTATTGGTGATTTTAGTTGTTTACGAGATACTATATCGAATGAAATTTCTCTAGATAAATAAAAAAAATAACTGTGATTCTGAATTGCATAATTTTGGATTATGATTCTTATACATTGATTGAAATTTAAGAACTGAAATTATTGTTATCATTATCAATTGATTTACGTCTATGCAGAAGTGAACAATTTTAGGGAATTATACTTTAGATTAAATGTTAAAATAGAATGATTAATTTACATACTTTAAGTGGATGGCTATAAATTTATCCTAAAATTAACAATTTTTATAGATGTAAAAATATTGCATTATAAATTTAAATAATATGATACAGAAATAAAATAAATTAGTACCATTTAAAATAAAAATATCATAGTGTTTGAAAGTAGAATATATGAGAAACTGATAAAAATTATTAAAATTGACAAAAAGGTACAAAATTAAATATTACTTCATTTCTTTTAGAGATGAGGAATTCAAAATTACATTTTATGGTGATGCTATTGATATTGCTAAGTAGGGAGGTAATTTTAAATTTATAAAATGGAAATTAACAGTATTTATTTAATATCAGTTTTATTATTTATGGAGTTATTTGGGCGATGGATAAGATGATCAAACATCTTAATAAATTTCTGAAGGCAGTTAAGTTATACTTAAGAAATATATGAGGATGTTCAGGTTAAATTCAAAATTTTTCGATCAAGAAAATACTCAACCA